GTAGACTGATGTAGCTGCTGAATACACGAGCGCTGACACACACACACACACACACACACACATGGGCCACTGAAAGTTCAAGATTCACAGCTTCAGCATTTACCCTGCAGGGCATTTCATCACCTGTGTGTGTTTCGGTATCTTCCTGTTAACCCGATTTTGGGCACTATTTTCATACCCCACCCCCGTTTTTTTTTTTTTTTTAGTTGGACATTTTTCGAATGATCTGTCAATCCCTTCTGTCCTACAGCAGACCAGCACAGGCTTGTATTTAGCTCTGTGTTAGAATTTGGTGGCAACCTGCAGAGCTGTGACCTGGAATGAGTGCTTTTACCCTGAAGTTTATAACATTCCAGACTTTCCTCCAGAGCTTTGCCCTGAAGATGCCTCATTGCTACCACCTGGTGGAAATTCAGTGCATTTACTCCTAATTTGGATGAGAAGTAGCACTTTACCCCTAACAAAATGTAAACGGTGTAACAAATGAGCACTGATTTTCTTTTTTGGCCTTTTTAAATCTACAGACGTTCATGGACGCCCATCACAGACTGAGGTCTTCCTCTAAAACCGTGGGTGCTCTTGTTTTTTCACAGGGTTTATTTTTTGTTTCCGTTATACAGATTCCATACAGCTTAAAACTACAGTTTATTTTTAAGAATGAAAGCTTATGATCTATTGCTTGTTAAATAGTGATTAATGGTTCACATTGTACCAGGAAGATCACATGCCTTAGTTACTGTGAGAGTAGAGCATCCCTGTAGTTCCTGTGTCCCCACAATTCCTGATGGTGACGGAGTTAATACCATGACCACACAGGTTATGATTCACTACCTTATGATGGGGTTCACCCTCTGTGTGTGCTAATGCACCACTCATGGGCAGGGCAGGTTATAGCTTGGGTTAATACTGTTTTTGGTGAGTGACTGAGAGATGCTTTGCTTGGGGCGGTATTTACACACTGGATCTGTTTTTCGAAGCAGACGCTGTGGAAGAAGTAGATGATGAGGCCTTAATTTATTTATGTATTTATTGGTTGATTTAGTCCCAAATACATTTGCTGTATATACTAGTAGATTTGCATGCATTGCGGGGCCTGGGGGGGAGAGATATTTGTCCAGTGAAGTGGGTGTCTGGCTTGCAGGTGCACCTTGGAATGAGATGACTGGCTGGAAATTCTCAGCACAAACAAAAGGTTGACTTTTTAATAACTGATCATATGACTCTGGCTCCTTGGTTTAATCACCCCCACAGAGAGCCGTAATTCCCTTTGTCAGGCAGCTTAATGGCATTCCTTCACACGTCACCTTTACCCTTTTACGTGCCTCCAAACCTTCCGCTTTTCTTGCTATTCCAGCCGGCTGCTGGCTGTCAGCTGACCTCCTCCCAGCACCCAGGTTCTGAATCTGATGTCATTCTGTTTGAAGCCAATGTTTATGTGATTCCAGATTAAAGATTTATTATAGTGTCGCCACTCCTGCCACTCTGGATTTCATTTTTTAATTTTTCTTCTTTTGTGTTATGACGCCAGTCTTGTGAAATGTGTAAAACAGGCGTGTTAATCTGTATTTTTGGTAGATATTCATGAATCATGCACATTTATAGTTTGCATAAGGTACAGTATTCCAGGCGGGGTTCTGGATCTCATCCCTGTCCCAGCTTAGTGGTGGTGAGGTGGATGGTAGTCGTAGGACTGGCCCAGACTCGTACTCGTGTTTATAGTGGGGGGGTCTCCAAATGTATTTGTAGGGTTGACTTACACTGAAGAACCCATAAAAGTGAGTATTTGGTTCCTTTAAAAAAAAAAGTACCTTGCTTCATGTCAATGGGCTAGAAAAAACAAAGTATTACATAACATGGGTTTTATTTTGAGTTGTCTGGACCTTTAACAGATCAACAACTGCAGCTTTTTGTCTCTCATTTCTTTAAAATCTCAGGCTTGATGGAGAACAAACTGCACATCTCCCGGAACCTCAGTGATTTTACTGCACAATTTATAATAAAGTTCATTATTCTCCTGAACTGGAGAAATGGCTGGCGTATGGTAACTTGTTCAATGTGTTATAGTGTCTATAAAAAGCTGCCGCCTCAAGGATTGGAAGCCAAATCGTGATGCAGACTTCTGAGTAAATTCTCCTCGGGTTTGATGATATATTTTGGTGCTGGTGCAGTTGAGTGTGTTTGAATAATCCAAATAAGCCATTAAATTATAAACTCAACTATAAACAAACTCAAACCATGTAGGGTGTCAGCCACTTTGGCTAAAACTAAGTAAATTTAAGTGATTTCTTAAAAGGGTCAAAACAGAACCCGGAACATCAAGAGGAAGAGGCCAGACGGTGCACGGAACGGGCTGTAGAAAATGCGAGCCATAACTCGCGTGGAATGTCTCCCACTGTTGGTGCACACTCAGCTGTTCGGGGCTGGAAGGCGTTAAACGCAGGCAGATGGGCAGATGGGCAGCTTGCCACGTGACACTTGTGCCTTGGCGAACATTGGAGGAACAGACCGATCGCATAACTGCGTATCAGGTGTCTATCCAGGCTGGAGCGCCATTCCCAGCCTCCCCTTTCCCGTTTGTCTGTATTTTGGTCAGGTTATTTTTTTGTTTGTCGATGTGGAAACTGCCCACTCACTCTTTCTTGTCATGTTTCTCAATAAAGGGTTCCTCTTATTGCAATATCCCACTTCATCGCCTCACCCTGTGTTGCTCTCAGATCAGCAGTCAGCGTGTGACTCGATCTCAAAGCAATGTCCACGTGGAGCAGTGTAGCAGAAAGCAAAGCTATATTTCTTCCTGTCTTCGTTCTTGCTACTCCTGGCTAAGATCACACACCCCCTCATTGAACCCCAGTCAGTTTCCTTGAATAGACTTGATTTGTACATTGGGGGTGGGAAGAAGGGAGGTTGACGTCACCACCCTCTCCAAGCTCAAGGGTGTCGAGGTTGGAAGAGGACACAGAGAAGGACACTGAAGACAGTGGACTGTCTCCTGGTTCCATCCTCCTGGAGAGGTACCTCGCCATGTGTCTGTGTGCTGTGTTACAATATAGACATTTTTTACAAACATCATTTTTGTTTAATATTTTATGGGAATAATCAGAAGTTGGTTTTTTGACCCATAGTGAAAGTAAGATTGGGGGTACTAACACTTCAGTTGTTTCCAGTTTGTCTCTCAGCTGGCTAATTTTATTGATTTTGATGAACAACATGGACAATGGCACCCACCGTGTTGCCATTTTAACATGCCAAAATGGATTAAAGAAGTGTTCTTAATGCATGCTATTTGTGAATGGTATAGGAGTAGTAACTATTTTGTCTCTATCTCACATTAATCACAGTAGATGGCAGATGATAGGATATTACTATGATCAGTCTGCCAGCTCATAAGATAGATAGATAGATAGATAGATAGGTAGATAGGATAGATTACATTACATTGCATTCGATAATTTATTAATTCCTAAGGAAATTGCAGGTTCACAATAAAAAGACATTTAGACATTAACGTATTCAGTGACAGACAGTGGCAGCTTGTTCAGTAATTTGGGTTTTAGATGCCACATGGGACACAGATCAGTGGTAAAAACGTGTTCACACAACTTGGAAAGCAGAAGAGGAAATCCCAGAGAGGGAAGAACAGGGCAGAAAATTTGCTAGCCCTAAAATGGAACTAGCCTCCGACCTGGTCCCCCTGTCTACTCGCCACATGGAGAGCACGAGGCTTCCTGTGCAAACCTGAGCTTCAGCAGGCGGGATCATTGCCAGGATACAGAGTAAACCCAATGGGATTACATATCCATTCAAAATAGACAGAGCGACCGGCCTTCTTTTAAAACGTCCCCCTCTGTTGGCCGGAGGGATGCAGTGTTGCATGGCCAAACGTGGTGACCACTGTGAACATATTCCGCGGCGGATGAAATGTTATCAGGCTCTTTAACAAGGTTAGTGCAGCTACTGTAAGTACAAAAAAATCCATGAGTGCTGAGCAAAATCAATGTTTGCAAGCGGTCAACATGCATACACATTTTCACGGACACTGGAATCTAACGATGTTATGTGAACCTTAATGAAGCAGATGAAACATGGAATCCACGCAGAATGAAAACCCAACATGTCTATCCAACATGAAAACCCAACATGTGTATCCTTCATGCATGCATAAAATGACTGACAGACAACCTTGCATGTGCTGTCATGTCACCATCATGCAAGTAAATACATTTACAATAAATTATTATTACAAATTGATATGACATGCAATTACACTTTTAAATAGGCCTATTCCATCACAAAGTGACCGAATTTCTTGCTATTTTGAGTACTATTATAAAGAATGTGCGCTGTGGCAGTGTGTCTGATACTCCGCCGATGCCTTTCTCTGAAGAAGCGCTAATGGTGTTACTATTTGGCACAGTCTGCTGGGTGGGCTGGCGGGTGGGCAGTTGTGCAAGTGGGGAAATTCGGAAGTCTACGCCATGCAGGGCATCTGCATCACAATCGTCATGCCACTGCAGATCCAGATGCTTGGCCACAGGTGCCCATGAGAAAGCCACACAATCTTTTGGGCAGCTGCACAAGTGACACTGCATCCCTGGGCTGCAGTTGTGGTTTATGGGTTTTTGGTCGGGGCGGGGGGCCGGGTACTGACAGCTGGTCCGTGGCCTGTGTGTGCTTTCCTGATAACACCCCCGGGAACAGTGTTATTTTCAGTTAAGAGCAGTTGGCTCTGAAATGACGAAACATCACGCAATTTTTAAAGTCCTCAACAAACTGGGTTGTCTGGTCTTAATTCATAACACGTTTCAAGATCGTGGTCGGTGGTGTTAAAACTGTGGTAGGTAAAACTTTTCTACGCTGTCATTTTCTATCTTCCGTTTAACTAATTATACTTCCATTCAAAATAAAAGTCCAGTTACACATTTATGTAAGGATGGGCACCTTTCAGTAAAACATCGACCCTGTATCTCGCAAGGTGCCTCGGCGGTCGGCTTGTTGATAAGGACCGCCGCAAGGACTGTCCGTGTTTTTCAGTGCTTTTGCTTCAGAAGGGTCAGGGCAGTGTTTATCGTGTGCGTAGAGAACGAGAAAGGAAAGCTAAATTTAATTAATCTGGTAATCATGGCACGTGTTTCCATCTAAATTTTATTTGGGTGATCGGTTATCATTTTTAATTGCCATTAATAACTTTGACCAAACTTTTCGTGCAGCAGTGAAGTCAGTGGGCGATAAGACTAGTTTTATCTTTTAATTTCGTGAATTCTGAGCTCCGTGCGGGGATACCACTGCACTCGGCGTGTTTCTGACTTTATTTTGGAGCCTTCGGAGCTTACACCAGGTATTCATTTTGCAGCCATATCGCTCATTTAGTACCGTTTAAGCCGTAAAAGTGAACCGAAGCGTTTGTGTCATTGACATGCATGCCGACCCAAAAGGGGGAGGGGGTTGTGGGGTTGAGGTTAGAGAACTTCTGCGTCAAGTTGTTGGGCTGATACGCTCAGCCTGGCATTAAAGGAGCTTTCCCCATTTTTCTGACAGAGGTCTCCTCGAACCGTGTACTCGATCTGTGGGAGATGACGGAAAACGGCGTGGTGTGTCAACGGGGGAAGGTGCTTACCACGGACACCATGAACCCCAACGTGAAGAAGGTGGAATACGCGGTGAGGGGTCCTATCGTGCAGCGCGCCGTGCAGATAGAGAATGAGCTCAAAGAGGTAAGATTTAACGACGTGCATGCATTTAAATTTTTAGGGTAACACATGCCATACGTTTTTATGAACTAATGTTTTGCATATTAACATATATTTGGATCTGAAATCTTTCCAACATTTTGTTCACATCCACATTTGAAAAGGCGAAGGTTCTACTGGCATTAGTGGCCACCTGTGTGAAAATTGTAAATCTGCATGCATTGCTTATTGTTCACTGGAATCCGGAGAAAAAGGCGGGACTGAAAGCGGAGACCCCGGTTAGAGCGCCTTGTGCGAGAATGATGGCTCAAAAAGAGCCACTCTTTTGTTAAACGTTTTGCACAATTAATTTTTTTAACAGTAAGAAACACCTGCGTGTTTGAGATGCTTATCTAAGTTAAATTGTATAGCGCTATTCACATTTCTCCATTTTCTAAAGCTCAGGCGTGTTATGGGTGAACATTGCAGGGAAAATTAGTGTATTGAGTACACCTTCCCCTGTTAAGCTGTTATCACAAGAATTTTGACTTGCCAAAAAAAGTTGAGGGTTCCGATCAACCTTGCCGTGTGTCTTGCTTGTGCCTGAGGGCTGGATGATCTCCTAGCCCAAGGTTCTTCAAATCTGGACCTCGTACCCAAAATGATATTGTTAATTATCACGGTATAATGTAAGTCATTATTTCTTTACTTAAGTGCTTTTTTTGTTACCTAAAATTCTCTTAGAATTACGCTTAAAAAGGATCAGAACATGAAAAAAGGCAAGAAATTGACTGCAAACTGAAATCATATTTTGTTAAATGGATTGCTGCTGCCTTTTTGCATAAGGCATTGCTTTTGTTTGGGTGTTCTGCCATTTGTTTACTGCCTTGTCAAAAGATTGCTACCATAGCATTTTCTGTTGGTTATTTGTTAGTTTTTGCTACTTATCTTTTTCCCCTGTGCTGGTAAATTGCCGTGGTGGGGAGGCTTGTGCGTCTCGATGACCACTGAGAACTTTAGAGGTGGGGGCTGGCAGGTTCAACCTAGCCAGGCAGGTTTCAGTATAGAGACCAGATGAAATTCAGCACCTGGTCCCACGGGTTGCGGGTTGGGCACCACCCCACCGCATAAAACTTCCATCAAGTAACAGAAATGCTACAGTTACAGACCCTGTACTGCACTTGAGCCTAATAAATGGCAGTATAACTTTTTCTGATGGAAGCCCCCAGCAGGAAGTCGGAGGTATGACTCGGGGCCCAAAACTAAAATCCGACTAGGAAAGTGGAATGTCCGCACCATGGTTGAAACCCCAAAACAGTGCAGGTCATCAGCGAGATGAACAGGTCTCTGAGATGGACACCACCTGGGCAGCGCAAACAAGGCCAGCCTGAAACGACCTGGCAGCAAACTGAGATGAAAAAGCTGAAGGAGATGGACCTAACATGGGGTGAAGCAGAACACATAGCCCAAGACAGGAGCAGATAGAGGCAAATCATTGATGCCCTATGTGTCTTTTGGCATGAAAAGGATTAATATGCCAAAATATCCTACATATATAATGGACACTTATTTAAGGATTTATGTATCAAAATGCCCAGCAAACAGCAATATGTCCTGTTTTGGTCAGAATGACATCCTCAAAGGATGTCCTTAGGACATCAAAATGGAAAGGGTTTTTTTTTAGGTCCTGAGGATGACTTTAAGGGATGTCCTAAGGCCATCTAGAGGACCTATTATGGACTTTTTAAGGACGTTCTCAGGATCAATTGTGGACATTCTGAACATATTATGCACATTAAACCCATGCAGATGCCTTTTTGTAAATAATTGATATTTAACATTTTACCAATAATGCAAGGGACATAAACAAGGGACAGCCGCATCATGTCGCTCTTTTGTGAGTGTCCTTAGGACATCCATAGGCTGACCCCGTTAATATGAATCCTTCAAAAACGATTTATTATGACAACTTGCAGGAAGAGCATTTAAATATATATAATTTTATCTAAAATATTTTATCGTCTTGAGGACAGCCATAGGATATCTTTCACGTCCTAAACCGTCGACAGAAGCAATGAAACCCCAAAAGCAGCCTTGGAGATGGTCAAACTTCTGCTGGCCAAATGGGCACAGGACAAGAACGAGGGTGACAGTCACAGTTTATTACTATTTTTTTAAATAAAGAAATGTGATGCTAGGGTAAGAATGTGATGTGAAACAATTTTACTTCCAGGTAAAACAGAAATGCAAAGCTTGTTAGTTGTTATTGAAATAAAATATTTTTTCTTTAATTAAAACCGACTACAATTTAACGTAGTAAAAAAAGCTGATTAATGGTAAAATCTGGTCCCATATGTATGAAATTTGGAGTCCGTTAGAATGCAAACAGTAAATTACCAGTCACTTCATTTGTGTTTAATAAACACATATCAACAAAATATGAATGACATTTAAGATAAACCACATTAACATGCAAGGGTCAAATAAGCTTTTATGTGATTCACAAGTAGTATATAAGGTTTTCATAAATACGGATTTTTCACAAATTGTTCCAGGAGGTTATTTAAAGGTTAGAGTGCCCTTTTGGGCCCCCTTTGTCCAGGGCCCAGGGACAACTGAGCCTGTCCCCCCTCATCCCCCACCCCGGTCCAGATGTCAAGACTGCTTCTCAACCCTGGAGTTTGAGCTGAACTGCCTGTGTAGTTATTTGGTTGAATCAAGTAAAGGTGAACATAGCAGAAGCCAAAGGGAAGCACTGACGGAGGTTTTTGCTTTTCAGATTTACTCCATTGCAGACTTGAAAGTTGCTTTATTGTATATGTTAATTAATAAGGCTTGGTGTCCACGCTGAACATATTCCATCACGTTACCCTTATGGTATATGCTGTTGGAGTGAGGGAAAGCATTGCTGGATTCCTTCTATAGCCGTTTCATGGAGAATGCTGATCCCTTCTAGAATTCCAGTGGGATTTAGCAGATCATGTTCTTGAATTTAATTTTCCTTTTAATATTGCTTGTTTAAGTACTTATAATCCCAGAATTGGGTGAAAAATTACTTTGTCGTTTTTCTGTAATATATTGTCATAAACAAAGATTGCATTATTTATTGTTACTCAGTCTTTTGTCTTGATGCTTTTCTGTTGGCTTGTTGGAAAGTGTTTTTGATTGTCCAGTTGAATGGGATGATTGACAGGAGATTTGATTTGGATGGAATAAATGCTTTTTGAGGCCAGCAGGATTGGCCGTGCCAGGCAGCAGGGGTTGCTATGGCTACCCCTTAGTCATGGTTACGCCGTGTTCCCTGGATCCCGGTGTGCTGAGCCACCGGGCCTTTTCAGCGGACTGTCCCTTAATTAATCTGAAGCGGTTCAATAGAGAAGTTGGCCCAGTTTACCCCTGAGGTCTTCAGAGCAATGAATTCCTGTTAAATTGCAGCAAATTGCTACCAGTTTAGACACTTTCTCCCTGCCTTCCTGGAGTAATGTGTGTAAAGGGTGAGGCCATTTTTGGGCACGCTGGTTAGGTGTTGATTTTCATTAAAGGTCTGGGCTTGGCCTTGCAGGGGTTGGGGGGGGGGGCTCCCCCCCAGTGCAGGGAAGCAGGAACAGGAGCGAGACTCTCATGCACAAAACAGCAGTGGCATTGTGGCAGTTGGAGACCAGAAGAGAGGAAGTACAATAACATGGTGAAACTAGACCTCACTTCAGTGTCCACTCACTCACTCACTCACTCACTCGCACATACTGTTTTACTCACAGGGGTGTCTTTTTGCAAGTTTTACTAACCTTCTGTGAGCTAGTGTCCCCATAGCCTTAGGAAAATATCACCCACATGCACACATACTATACCTTCAAGGGGTGGAACAGTACAGTTTTCCCACTGTTTGGCATGTGTCACGGTTTTTGGACCATGGTAGTGGTACGGTTTCAATATTTTTATGTATAAGCAGAAAATAAAAACATCAATGTTTAATTGAACAATGAACTCTTTATTTGTCCAACATTCCATCCAAAAAAATGGCTGCATGACTAATTAGACCTACTTTGTGTGTCTGCTGCACAAAATCAAGGAGAGAAAAACATAAAGATTTTAAAGTGCTTCTCAACTTAGACAAAGCACCTACTGGTTATCAATTCTGTTTTAAATTAAATTAAAAGTGTACATATATATAGTACCTGTACAGGACTTATTAAATTAAAAAATGACAGTGTAACATCAAGCGAGCCTCTAAGCATTCTGTGTTGGCATTGTCTAACTTTTGACAACCTTGAACTGATTTGACTTATTTTATATGAGCAGGATACATACTTATATAGGCAATAATAAATGTAAAACAACACAAAGTACAAAATCAAGTCGGTACCGTAATGAGACCCATTTCTTTATAGTGAGGTTCTTTGTAAAAAGATAAAAATGTCAACACTCTCTGAAACTGCTACCAAATCTCACCTTTTTATAAAGAAAAATATAGTAATTTTATTTAACAAGACCATATACCCAGTTAAGCATATCACTGTTAAAAAATATCCAATCACAGCACAGTAACTGTAGATAGATCAATATTATAAACTCCACAACCCAAGAGAGTGTAGAATGTTTTTGATGCAGCAGACACATAAATGGGGCAAAAATTATTGTGGCTAGTGGTCAAGTCATTATAATGAAGATGACAACTCTTTTAAAATGAAATACTCTCTTTACTAACAGTCACTATTGCTTTAATACTAGCAGTTGCACAGACAAGGAAACCAACAGTTTACAAAACATTTGCACTTCACACAAATGAAGCGCATACATTCCACAGCAAACATTACATAGTAATCACATTTACAGTTAAATACAGCAATACGCATATTAGTTTACATCATTTAAAGATAAGTGCAGTGTGGTACAAAGCATGCTGGCTGCTAACCAACTCCATGGCGTCACATTATGTCAGCCAAATGTTGACAACGGGTGGGATCACCGCTGTTACATCATATTGCTGAAACAACGTTGATTACATATGAACTATGTAATTACCTTTAGTCAAAATTCAGATAATT